GAAGGGAAGGGGAAAAGAAGTATTTCTTGAACTCGTGTGCCAAGTATTGTGCTAAGTTTTTACGTACATTCTTTTTTACTCTGTACCACAACCCTGCAAACTTAGAAGTTGTTACCCCCATTTTATTGATATAGAAAAACTTCACGTGACTCCCCCATGGCAAACAGCTCATTGCTGGAGCTGGGATTTGAACCTGTGTCCCTCTTGAGTCCAGAGTGCATGTTGATTCTGATACACCACACTGACTTTAGCTGATCTATCCTCTTTTCTATTTTTTTTTCCCCTTTTAAAATAATAATTTGATTTCATCAGAGTGACCTAGAGGTAGTCTTCAGTTTGGAAATCTCAGTCAAAATTCATATTGCATCTAGTTGTCGATAATTAAATCCAAGAATTGAAAGAGAGGAAGTTCAATATAAAAGTTTTTAAAGGTCATATATTGCCTTTCAAACTAGTAGGCAAAGCAACCAGGTTATTTCATATTAAATTTAAAAAAAAAAAAAAGGAAACTCAGCCATGGAGTGGGATAAAAATCAGACTGCAGTACTGTTTTCATTCAACTCTTTTGGAAGTAAAAAGTCACTGGCTGTGGGGGGGCAGCAGGGAGCAGGCATGTAAGGAGCCTTTTCCTCAAGGGTGTTTGCCAAACCTCATGATATCTGAATTTTTCTCTTTAATTATTAAGAGAAGGAAAATTCTTGAACTTTTTTAAAGGAAGCATCATAAAATACATTCTTTGTACACAGTTCATTAAAACATAAGTCTTATGTGATATTTTTAAGAGTAAAATTATCTTTAGCTATTAATTTGTTCATTGTTACTGTACCATAAAAGTTCAGCTATTGAATTATAATCACAATTAAATGAGTGTGTTGGTTTATAACTCTAGTGAGCAGTCATCACATTAAACCCAATTAGGAAACGGTGATTAATGACCAAATGTACAAATTGATCTTCCTCATTGTCTCAATCCCCTAAAGCAATTCTTTATTTAGGAGTTGTAAAAGCAGTCATTTATTTCTTAACAATATCAATAATATTTATAATCTGAATATTTCAGTTATTTCCATTTAGATCTGTAATAGCAGAACATAGACCTTTCATATTAAATTTTTGACTTCATAATTACTCTTTTAATTTGAAAGTTTCAGAAGCT